CCTTTCAAAGAACAATTCTTAGTTTCATTAATTTGTGTCTATTGATTTTTAGTTTTTGTTTTCATTGATTTCAGCCCTTTATTAAAGTTCTTTCTGCATGCTGCATTTATTGCTGTAAATTTTCCTCTTAGCACCAGTTTAGCTGTGTCCCCAGACCATTTGCTATTGTATTTTCCATTTCATTCACTTTAGTAATTCCCCCTAAGACTTCCTCTTTGGTTCAAGGATTATTTAGAAATGTATTATTATTTTCCAAATGTTTTAGCAATTTTTCTGATCTCTCTATTGCTGGATTCTAGTTCAATTCCATTGTAGTTGGAGGACACTTAATATCAATTCTTTTATATTTGTTGAGGCAAGTTTGTGACCCAGAATATGGTTTATATTGGTGTGTGTTCCAAAGTACTTGATAAAATTGTGTATTCTGTAGTGGTAGATTACACTGTCTGTAAACATAATGTTTTCCTGTTGTTTTTTAATATCCTCATTAATTTTCTAGTTGTATTATCAGTTGTTGAGAGAGGGATGTTAGAACTGTCAACTATGATTATGGATTTATCTTTTTTCCTTTCAGGTCTCAGTTTTCAATGTATATACTTTGCAGTTCTCTTCTTTGGTACTTAAACATTTAGGGTTACAATGTCTTATTGGTGGTTTGATCTTTAGTGCCCCTTTCTGGTAATTCCTTTTGCTTTGAAGACTACTATGTCAAATATTAATATAGTCACTATTTTCTATAGATTAATGTTTGCATATCTTTCTGCATCCTTTTTTTTAGCTTGCTTATATTGTTATAAGTGGTCTTATAAACAGTAGAGAGAGAAAGAGATAGACTTTGTCATGTTTTTTAATCACTAGGCTACTTTCCATCTTTTGGTTAATTAGATCATATATATTTAATATAATTGTTTATCAGTGGGTTATATTTACTGTTTTCTTTTCCTTCTGGTTTTGTTATTTTATTGCATTCTTGTGAATTATTTGAATATTTTTAGAATTCCATTTTATCTAGGTTTTTTTTTTTTTTTAGTATATCTCCTTATGTATCTTTTTTAGTGATTCTTCTGTGTATTACATGACATAAACATAACTTACCACAGTCTGGTGATGTCAGCATACTACCAATTTCAGTGAATTATAGAAACCTTACCATCCTTTATCTTGCCCATTTATAACTTAGTTCAGAATCACATTATTCACTTTATTACTTTATCTTTCCTCTGTATTTATGTACAAGACTCCTTTCTGTTTAGAACTTTTACTCTTTTTTTTAGGGTAGTTTTACTGGTCAGACACACCTTGAGTTTTTTTTTTTTTTTTTGAAAGTGTCTTGATTTCTCCTTCATTTCTGAAGTATATTTTTGTTAGATACAGGTGGCTGGGTTTAACTAATGAGAAATATGCTGTCATCCTAATTGTTTTTCCCCTGTAAGATGTCATTTTTCCTTGCTGCTTTCCAAATTTTTAGCCATTAGCTTTTTAGATGTTTCATTTAAAAACATCTAAAACAGGAATTTGTGTTGGTGTTCCTTGGAATTGACTCAGTTTCTTACATCTTTTGCTGAACTTGGGAAGTTTTCAGCCATTGTTTCTTTTAGTGCTTTTATAGCCCTTCCCTCATCTCTCCTTCCAAAACAGAAATGTTAGATTTTTTGTTAACAGTTCTACAGGTCCTGGTACAGTCTTCATTCTCTTTTTCTCAGTTATTCTCATTAGATCATTCTTTTATCTTCCAGTTCACTAATTCCTTCTTCAGTTCTCTCAAATCTACTGCTGATTCCTTCCACACTCATCATAATAAGATATTAAACTAAATGGTAAAAGGCAATAAATGTCAAATATTGAGATGACAGATGTTAGAATTACCTCACAAAGATTTTAAAACAACCATTACAGAAAATGTTTCAATTATGAAAATGCTTGAAACGAGTGAGAAAATGTTTCAGGAAAAAGAAATTCTAGAGGAACTAAATTAAATTGTAACTGAACAACACAAAATCCTAAATAAACTAAATGGAAAGAATTTTGTATTATGAAATGCTAGATCTTATTTAAATTTACTCTTCTAGCTGATTCCATTGACACTACTCCAGGAAATAGGTGGTGTGCCAATTCATTACTGCCAGATAGAGGTAGAAGTCCAGATTCCTCACTCAAACAAGTACAGAAAAAAGGAGTAGATAGAGGAGAGGAATTCGGGTCTCCTCTAGGCTTCACTGGTTATCTCCCTCGCTGAGACAACTAGAGTCCTCGCCATTACAGCCACTGACACCATCAGAGGATGTGACCTAATTAATTACCATGAGGCATAATGTAAGTCCTGAACCTCTACTAAACCTTTTCTTTTTTAATTACTACCCCCAGAAGGGAAGGAAGGGTAAGCTCATAATTGCCAACTTAGGTGGAAGTTAAAGGTCCCCTATATTGCTTCCACTGATACTTCGATGGGGGTTGGTTGGGGGGGCAGTGCAGAGAACTCATTAATACCCAGCAAAAACTTCCTGCTCCTTAATCAATCTTATCTGATAACACTTTGGTCTGGGAGTCAGAGTGCCTCCTTATAGCCTACAGCCTGGCTCACGCTGTTGTGGGTAGGGATAAGGGCCATAGTCTTTTCTATTATCTCAAGTTTTCTGAAGTTTTTGTCTTACATACTTTTTCTGGCCTTTAGGCTAGAGAGGACAGGCTTGAGAATTGGGGGGGGGGGGGGTTGTCATTTTTTGATTATCTTACATGGCATTTGCAGATTGCTAGTTTCTTCAGCTCTATATTTGTAATAATGAGACATAAAAAAGAGAATTCACCACTCTGTCATTTCTTGTCATTTCAAGCCTTAGCCTCTATGCTTGCTTCTCCCCACCTTTCACAGTCTTAAATTTATTTTTTATGTGTTGCTTATGTATATATTTATAAATATGTATTATTTGCTTTTATTTAATATCCAAGGTTGTACTTTGTGAGGGGACCAGGGAGGGAAAAACACATCTACTCCATCTTCTTAAAAGCATAAATCCTAAAAAGTCTGTATGATACATTGTAGAATGCTGTTTCCTCTAGTGGTAAGTGGTATTTTATTAGTCGTACAAAAATGCCTCTTGTCTTAGAAGTTTGGTTGGTGTCATAACTAGCGCTGCCCTTGGCACATTCAATAAATGTTTATTGCAGGAATATTTAACAGTTAATTAGAATAGATCCTAAGTTAAAATTGTGGAGTTAATATTAGAAGATACTGTAATAATTAGGATTGGGTTTTTAGCAGTTCAGTAGTTGAGGGAGTGGAGTCAGTGGTTAATGTCTAAAATGAACCAAGGGGAAAGTACAATAGTATCTTACCTGAGTTTATAAATGATAATAGTGATGCCAGTGTCTGAAAAAATGCACCTTTTAGTTAATTTCTTGGGTTTTTTCAGCTTGTTTTGTGTTTAAAAGCTGTAAATAAAATAGGAATAAAAAGCATGCTTGCTGACTTTTCAGGTGTTTTGAAACACTGAACTTCAGATTAACTTAAAACCTGTACTGCATTGTAGCAGATGTATTTTTTAGTTCATTTTTGTTTGTACAAAAGATAGCTTATATCCTTCTACTACTAAACCAAGGGTTTGCTAAAATATAGACAGTTAATTATACTTTTTGTTACTCATTACTTTGAAGAAACTATGGGCTATATCTTTAGCCATACTTGCATAGCAAACAGGAGAGAACTGATGCTTTTCCTTACATGTGGAAAAAAAAATTTTAATGTCAGTAATATTCATGAAATTATAGAATAAGGGAAAAAGAGGAGGGAAGAATGAATATGAAAGAAGGTGTATACATGGTGGAGAATGCTAAGTGCTATTATATTTGCTAATCTGTGATGGGGTACAATACGCTTTGCCTTAAACTTAAATTTCCTATTAAATTTCACCTCTATGTAAGCTTCTTAAAACTTCATTCTTTTCAGAGTCATGTTAAATAACAATTGATGAACTAATAATGATATCCAGTTTACCTTTGCTTTGGTTATCAATATGCTCAACTAAAGTGGATAGAAATTGCTAGTCTACAGTATACCTGATTAATATTGCTTATTTTTTTTACATACTGTTTAATTTCTATTTGAACAGCTTTATTAAACACAAATCTTTTATATGATATCCATCTATTTTAGAACCAGCCAGTATAGAATTACGATATATATTTATATACCTGGTTTAACTGGAGCCTGGCCTCCATTTAGGATACGTAACAATCCCAGTAATTCAGAAAGGCTTTTGACTTCCTTTTAGAGTCTTTACAACCCTGAATGCCTTTTATGAGGCTTGTTGCTGTATAAGTGGATAATATTTGTTAACAATTAATAGAACCTTTGCATATAGTAAAAGGATCATTAGTAGCACAGGACAGTTTATATTAGAAACCAGTGTAATAATGAAGTACTTGAAGTAAGACAAGAGAACGCCTGTTTTCCCTCAAAACCCTACTCAGAATAGGGCTTTTAAAAGTGACTTTAGGGCCTCCCAGGTGTCACAAGGGGTTAAGTAAGTCTCAGCACTAAAAAGCAATCCTAGCCACTACAGCACAAGTTCAATCCCCCTCCAGGGAGTTAACCTACATGGCACAGCAGACTTCTGTCTCCCCTGGTGCTCCCTGCCTCAACAGTGTTTTTCAGTCAAATTGTCTGTTCTGCTTCCCACTCTGTCTCTGGTGAATCTTCTCCCCACCCCCCCAACCCCTGCACCTCTGACCTACACCCCAGCTCTTAAGATAGGGCCTTTGATTCCCATATGTAGTGTTAAAAAAAAAAAACTAATTCTAAACTGACCATAAATCTAAAAGGCTCTTTGTTGTCATTAATGACCTGGGAGATTGGGAAATAGAAACTTATAAAATATGAACAGTATTTTCAGGTAGACTTGTTTGAGATCTAGCTCATAAGCTGTTCTTGTTTTGATTACCTAATTCTGCAGCATGCCCAAAAACACTTGTTTACAAATTGATGGTTTGTTTTTTTTAATCAGGTGACTAATAAACATACCAAAAGAATATGGCTGCACAGGTACCAGAATCTGATCAGATAAAACAGGTAAGAGGTTATAATTAGGGAAAAGGTATTTTGGGGAAAAATATGATTTAATTTTTGGTCACTGACCTCACAAAATAACTCATTTCCAGAAATGAGTATTAAATGATATGAAGCATATTGTTTTCCAGATAATCCAGGAAAGAATAAATATTCAACAAGGAAATTAGTCTGTATTTTGTAAACCATATTATGCTCACTTAAATTAGCAAAACAACATTTGATTTCAGTTACTACTGGATTATTTTGCCTAAATGCAAAATACTAGTAATTACAGATTTAAAACATCCTTTAAAATCAAATATTAAATAATCTGATTTATTTGTAGTTTAGGGAATTTCTTGGAACCTACAATAAACTTACAGAAACCTGCTTTTTGGATTGTGTGAAGGACTTCACAACAAGAGAAGTAAAACCCGAAGAGGTATGAAAAGTTTTGCCTGCTAAACATCCCATAATGATATAAATGGGGTCCCTATGGCACTTCAGTTGTTCCTAGTTATTACAGAAACTTGGAATACCTTCTGTGTTCCATTGCTCAGAGAAACTGAGTCAGCAAGAACTGAGTTTAATGGTGCCAAATTTAATACAACAGTCACATAACAATGCAGGCTTCTTTTACACACGACACCTGGGGCTTACTGGGTTATTATTCCCTGGCAAAGATTTTTATATAAGTAGCTTTCAGACAAGATGACCTAAGTAGAGAAAGATGATGTGGTATTTCTATCTGATCCTGAGAGCTTGGGTTAATTTTGAAAAGGAGGAACTTAAGTTTGGTGGCTCATACTGCATAAGTGAACTCTAAAAACCCAATTTTATTAGAAGTCTTAACTTTTTAATGCCCTCATCAAAACACATTCATACACATACATTTATGTCACATTGAGCCCATATATAAGTGGAAGATGCTGATATACACTTATACCAAAACTAAGCAATTAATACTTGTTAAATAAGTACAAAGGTTGAGAATTAAGAATGTTAAAAAAGGAATTAATCATTAAAAAGAGAACAAACTTCTACTGGACCATTTTAAAAAATTGCAAGAAGAGGGTGGGAATGTAGATTTTCAGTTAGTATTGAAACAAACTGGCAGAAAATCACTACGGGCAGGGATTTAACACCATTGTTCTTAGTGCTTACAAACTGGTTTGCATTCAGTATCTATGTTAATTCTTATAAATGAATAAAAGTGTTAACCATTGAAAGCCATAGTTACTTGGTACTCATTAATACCATTTAATTTTAGATATATTCAAAGAATAGGGAAGCTTTTGCTTTTTTTTAAATTAATATTTTTGTTTTACCTCTTAAATCTTGTTTATTTTAGACCACCTGTTCAGAACACTGCTTACAGAAATATTTAAAAATGACACAAAGAATATCTATGAGATTTCAGGAATATCATATTCAGCAGAATGAAGCCTTGGCAGCCAAAGCAGGACTCCTCGGCCAACCACGATAGAGAAGTCCCAGTCAATGGACTTTGAATGAGAGATTGCCAACAGCTATTGCACTGGAAAAGAGGATTCACCTGACAGAATCCCCTGAAAGCAGTAGTCACCATGTTAAACCATCTGTCATGACTGTGGCACGTGGAAACCACTGGAGAAACAAAATTCCTATCTACCAGGGATAATCAAAATAGAAGGTCTTGTTCATTGAAAATAATATGCAACATTTGTTGAGGCCTTAAGATTCAGCAGCTTGGTCACTTGATTTGAAAAATAAACCGTTGTTTCTTCAATTGTGACTGTTAATTTTAAAGCAAAATATGTGTTCAGAATCATGTATGAGATAGAAAAGAAAATTTCATTACTAAAAGTAAAATAAATGGAAATATCACTGAGCAGTTGTTTATAATATTTAATACCATAGTATTCTCAGTGGACTGTGGATACGATGAAATGTTTTTCAATCACGATCATCCTCCCAGTATTCCTGTTCATTCATGTCTGCCTCAAATTGCTGGTAAATACATAAAACAATTACTTTCTAATCATTTCAATGCACCATCCTTTTTTTGGCCTCTATTTTGTTTTACTATATTGAGGTTACAACATTGTTTATAATTTGGGCATAGGTTCATACCTTTCAAATATATGCTACAATACCACACCCATCATGTTCCATCATAATCCATTGGGGTTTGCCTGCCTTCTTATGTCTTAATTCTAACTACATTTCTACTTATCTTCAGGAAATAAGCTATCTAAGATTAGCTTGGGCTAGTAAAGTCTGTGATGGTTTGTGTTTTGCAGCCCAATAGGAATGATTGCAAGTCAAACCCAACATATACAGTATATTCTTATCCTTGATATATGATCAGTGTAATGAAAAGTGAATCAAAATTAAAATTGTCTTTACAGCTAAATGAATTCTAAAATTCAAGCATGTACAGGAAATTCTACTTAAGACATAAAAATATTAAGCAGCTTTGTAAGTAGATTTAATGCCTTTTAATAAATTGGCTTACAAATGAATTTCATTTGATACCAATTTAAATTTTACTTAAAAGAACATTAGTTTGCCTATATATTTAAGTTTCCCATGATTTCTATGTTTTAATGTTGGAAAACAATTGTTCTGCTTTGATAACTTTCTCTTATTACATATAATTTTTGAACTTGTTTACCTAACAATACCATTTAACTTAAAGGCCTCTTACCATTACAGTCAAAAGTTGTCTTTAAGAGTAAAAGGCAATATTAACAATATTTTTAAATTGAAATGTTAATATTAAACAATATGCAATTTATTATAGTCAAAGTACATGAAAGAATAATAATTGAAGTTGAAATTTTGTCAGGCTTTACTCTGACCTCTATGTAATCAAGCCCAACATGGTTATTAGTCTATTTCAGGAAGATAATATGTGCTCACCTGGCAAATAAGGGGAATTTTGTGCAACAGCATCTCAAATACCTTGGGAGGGAGTGTGTGTCTGAAAACATTCAGAAGTTCACGTGGCTGCCCACACGCCAAAAGGGCATTGCTGAGATGTTCAACCCCCATTCTATGCTCTCCTAAAACAGATTAATAGGTTCAAAGCAAAATTAAAATTGTTTCCAAATATACATCCCACAGATTACCAAGGAAGTACCAAGCATTAAAACAAAAACATTTAAACAAATCTCAAAGAGCAGAGTGTGACTGTGAGGTGAAATGCTAAGCAGTCAGTAATTAGATTCTCTGTAATCTTGCTACATGTAAATGGCCCAAATCAGAGTAAGTGTATTCTTGCTGTCTAAAAGGTACATTTGCATTGAAAATATTCTACAATTTGGATATGCAGGAGATGACATATAGGAGGGGTTTTTTTGCTGCATTTTAAAACTTGTTTATTGTGTAAACTAGGTTTATTTTTTAATTGATGGAATACTATAGATGAAACATCAGATTTTCTGGGTAAAGGAGCATTTTTTTTAAGGTTCTATTATCAAAGAATTGAAACAAAATTCATTGTAACAAATTATATATCCAGAGTGAGAAAATAGGTATATGAATTTTGATTTGAAAAATTTTAAAGTTTTAAGTGAAACTTGAACGAATGAAAATTTATAAGTAGCAGTTATAGGATTTCTGTTCAGTTTAGAACATGGAGTCACTTAGTTTTACTTCCTTGTTTTAGGAAACTAAGGTAAATATCAGTAAAGTGACTTAAGGTTTTAGAGCTAATTAATGCCTGAATTAGTAACAGAACTTAAGTTTTCTGAACCTCGAAACTACATTGTGCTGCTTGCTTCTCTTATGTAATAACAAAAGTTGAAATTTTGACATATTTAAAATAATGTAAGAAATAAAATACATTTCCTTTCTGTTAAGTATTACATTAAATTCTAATGGGACCTAATTTTCCACTTCTTGGTTGCAATACACATGAAGAGAAACGGACATGATAAATAGGAAGAGATGCTTCTCAAAGGTCTGTACTAAGCTTAACCTGAGAAAGATGAGAAGGCCATCAACTAACTTAATACACAGACAAAACAAGCCTTGTTAATTTGTAGCTTTTAAGAAAGTTTTGTATATAGGTACCTAACTTTATATTCTCAAAGTTTTATTGCTAGGTTTTTAGTGTGTAGTACTTAAAGATGCTATTTCTTAAATCCTGGTATTTATTTTAAATTAATAAAACAATCTATGGAATTCACGGGAATTAAAAATACTTAGATGCATTGAGCTTTTTAAAGAAATAGAGAATGATGTATGCTCTGAGTTAATGGAACTTACATGACCGCCCCCCCCCCCAAAAAAAAATAAATAAACTGTTTGGCCAATTAACCAGTAAGCCAGTCAAATCAAGTAATCATAAAATCCAATCAGATGTGCTGGTTCTCTAGTACCAAATAACAACCGAGATATGTGAAGAGCACTACTACCTGACAGAAATGTAATTTAAATCAGTGATGGTGAGAATGGAGAACATTGAGATGACAAGAAACTGGTGAGAAATTACTCCATTGGAATGCTGCATTTGTTAATGCTGCACTTAGATTGTAGTAATTTAGGGAGATTTTAAGGATACTGATACCTACATCTCAGCTCCAGAGATTCTGATTTAAGTGGTTAGGGTTTGGGCCATGAGTTTAAAAAACAAACAGCCAAGACAAGAACTGCAATTGGAAGTGTGAAATAGAAGTATATAACCCTTAAGGAGTTGGTTAATCAATTTAGAGTTTCAAAGAAATGATGTACCACCTTTGAGAGGGAAAATGTTTCATATCCAAGTTTGCAAATTTGTCTTAATCACCTCTAAATTTGTGTAAACCTCACCAAACTATTATGGCTATGAAACATAGAGGATTAAAAATAAAATGTAATAATTAAGTTACTGTTTTCTTTTGACCAGAAATTTAAAATATTCCATTTTTGTACGATCCTGCTTCAAATGTTAAAGCTGAAAGCTATCTGTCTTAACTACCTCTGTAACTAGGAGACATCCACATGTAGGGGTTAATCACCTCTATAACTAGGAGATAGCCACATGTAGGGTTTAATCACATGTAGGGCTTTTTTGCAAAGCCCTCAATTTATATAATTTGAGGTCCCCTGGGGGCCTCCCTGGTGACATAGGGGATAAAGTCTCAGTGCTCCCAAGCTACTGCAGCCACTGTAGCATGAGTTCCAGGCCAGGGAGCTGACCCACAGGAGGCAGCAGACCTGTCTTGTCTGTTGCTCCCTTCAGCAGTGTACTTTATTAGTTGGCCTGTTCTACTCCTTACTCTGTTTCCGGTGAATCCTCTCACCTCCTGCACCTATGGTCTACACCCCAGCTCTTGCATGGGGTAAATTTAAAAATGGAAGAATATAGTCATGAAAGCAAAACTGGATCCTTCCTGACTCCTTCAAAGAGGCCTGTGCAAATGAAGAGTCAAACCTTGGGTTTCATAACCTTGTATAAAATCAGTTCTGTTAGTATCATTTAATTCAGCTTAATTTTGTCATTTGGATTTACAGATATTTTTAGTGTATTTATGAAACCACCTGAATCATTTATAATTAATATAAAATTTTCAAATTTTAAAGGATTAGTGTGCAATGATTTTGAATGGTTATAATATTTTTTCCATTACTCAAAAAAATGCAATTATCTGACTTCCAAATACTTATCAACAAATGTTCCTTGAACATAAATTATCAAAAATAACTGTTTATAAATAGTTACATTCTTACCTCTAGATAACCAAAGTTCTCCCATTCGTACCTCTTGTAGAAAAAAATCTTGCAAATTTTTATTCTTTGCTGGATCCTGCAACTAAAAGATTCACAAAATAGTTAACAGTGAGTAAAGAATGTAAAATATGTAGTTATCGACCAAATTTTTTTCCTTAAAAGACCATCTTGAACCTAGTGTCTAAATCCAAATTGTGGAGTTCTTCTTTATGATATTTACACCAATTTATTTAAAGTTACCATTTTAGGTGATAAAAAATATGTAGATAACCAAAGTTAGGTTGAGATACTTATAATAAATCATCCATATTTTATTCAGCTTACTAAATACACCTAGAAGAAATCCTATTGTAATGAACTACAATAAAGGTAATTTTGTTACATTGTGTTTTTTTCTTTTTTCCTTGCCTAGGGTATTAACAATACCTAGTGATTTGGTTGCAATTGCTTCTCTGGTCTACAAGGTCATTTTGGTCATCTGGTTGTGATACTTGTTCACACAGTGGTAACATACTGGGAGAGGCAAGAAGCTATACTAAGGTTTCTGTATTCACACCCTCACCAGGGGAAGTCAACAGGCATGTTGGGGAGTTGTCATGGAGCTGGTGGTATTCAGAGGATGCAGGGTTTGCTGCAGCCTGGTTTATGAAGATGAGCATCATTAGTCCCATGCCTAGCATTGATCTTTAAAGGTAGAAAAACCCCAACCCAAAGTATCTATTTTACTATCAAGCTTCAATCTTTCATAATCAGAGGGATTTTGCTTATTTCCTCCCCTAAATTCTCTTTTTAAAATGCTATCAGGCCCTCCCTGGTGACGAAACCAGTTAAGGTACAGCACTGAAAACTAGCCACAGCTGCTTCAGTGCCAGTTTGATCACTGGCCCTGGAAGTAACTCACATGGTGCAGCAGACCTCCCCTGTCTCATCGGGTGCTCCCCTCAGCAGTATATCTTGTGGATCTGCCTGTTCTGCTCCCCACTCTGTTGTAAATCCTCTCACTGTCCCTGAACCTTTGGCCTGTATCCCATTTCTATATGCATAAATATATAAATCTTTAAAATAAAATGGGATGAGCCTGGGGGTATGGATCACATTGTAACTTTTTATCAGTAAACATGCTGGTGATCAGTTATAACTACAGGTTTCATTCAACAGATATTTATTGTGCTCTGTCAAGAACAGGGCACTCTTCGAAGAGCTGGCAGTAGAAGATCAAGTCACTACTACCCTTATTCAGAGAGTCATAGGCAAGCTAAGTAAGGACAGTACATTTATGACCAGTATCACATATCAAGCTTGCTCTCCTCTGGGTTCCAAAGAGAAAGATTGTATCTGGAAGGAGAAACAGGGCACATATGTTAGAAAAGACAGCACTTGAGATGTGGAAGGAATGAAAGGTGATGAGAAAGTGAAAGATGTAAAATGGCAGGGAAAGTATGTAGTGACCACATACAGCAGAATTAGGGTAAAGTGAATGTAGTAACAATAATTGCCAATTATTGAAGGCCAGCTAAAAACTGGGAACTTTATATATTTACAGTCCTTTGGGGGAAAAAAGCCTGTCTACATATAAGGCATCCATAGAAGGCCATGGAGGTGAAACAGGCGCTGTCCCAGTCAGAGAGATCAGGGAAATGCGACTCTCACGTGCAGCTTCTTAGACACTCCCTGTTCTGCTTCTTAATTGTGTTGATTGTATCTTTATTCACCCTACCTTGAAACCCCAGAAATCTCTCTTTGACTTGAAACCCCTGCCTCTCTTTTAATCAGTCATCATAAAGTATACTTTCTGGATAATTTCTCTCATCTTTTCCATCACCAGTTAATACCAGTACCACTATAAGCCAGCATTCCTATTACTTCTCATCTGTCCTGATCCAGTAGTGTGTCCTTTCCTCCAACTCACTTAGCACATTCTGCCTGATCAGTCTAACTATACAGCTTTTTTCTTTCCTTCTTTTTAAAATTCCTGCTCTAAAATCTTCAGTAATTCCCCCAGTGATTCTAAAATCCTTAGCCTAGTCTTCAAAGTCCTCCCTAATTCCACTCTTACTTAACTTCCACTAGTCCCTAATGAGATTCCTTTGTCAAACTGATATACTGATTAGGTCCAGCAGGTCTTCCACTTTATGCATAAGCAAGGTCCCTTTATGCATAAGCAAGTTCCCTCCGCCCTGATTATCGTCTCCCTGGAAACCAGGATTCATTGTTAACGCATCCTTCCAGGTTCAGTTCAATGCACTTCCTACAAAGTCTCCTGTGAAGGACTGCAAATTCCAAAAACAGCCACCACAATGCTCCAAATCCCAAACACACTTCTGGAATCTTGCTTCCCCTATCAAGAAGTAGCCTATTTCTTCTCCCCTTGAAATTGAGGCCTCAATGCTACCAAAGTGGCACCCCTTGGCATGTTCTCCTACATATTCTCTCTCAAGTGACTATGCATGTGTACATACACACACATCCCATACATACTTCCTGCCCTTTGGAAGCCTGCCACTAAAAAGTGGTTTCCAGGGAAACCATGACGCCTGCAGATGACATATAGGGGTTCTCCTCAACAGTCCCAGTGAGTTGGGCAGATGGCACCAACTGCTCAACATGTGAGGGAATGAGCCTTCAGGTGGTTCAGAACGCAACCCTGAAGTCACACAGAATACAGCTGAGTGGAGCAGAAAGGTGTTATCCCCACACAGTCCTGCTCAAATTCAGATGCAGAGGCAAGCCAGATCCTGAATTTTTGTGTTTGTTTTTAAAGACTTTTTTTATGCATACAGAACTGGGGTACAGATGCCAGAGGTGCAGGCACATGGAGCGGATTCCCCAGAGACAGAGTGGGAGCAGAACAGGCAGATTGACAAAGCACACTGGTGAGGAGAGCAGCGGGCGACACAGGAGAGGTCTGCCGCGCCATGTGGGTCACCTCATGGCCAGGCCGGGGATTGAACTCGCACTGAAGCACCATGGTTTGGCTTTGCTTCGCAGTGCAGTGCTCCAACCCCCCGGCGCCACCAAGGGAAAGCCAAACCGATACTGTTTTAAGCCACTAAGCTTAAAGCAGCAATAAACAGGTAAACATCCTCCATGACTTTGGGCCCTGGAAATCAATGCCCACCTTCTCTGAGCTCTTCTAGTTACTGCCCTCATCCACTGCCTCGTGGAGCCTCCTTTCTAATCGCTAACCTGGCGACCGCGGCCTCCTCACACATAGTTCTCCAACAGGTGTCGACTGAATGGATGAATGAATAAATGAGTGAAAGAAGGTTAAGACTTACTTCCTTCTTAAATTCATGGAAAATCCAAAGAACTTTCTGAGCTGATACGAATTAATTTGGGCCAATCACTAAGATGACTGTAACTGTTTTCTTTTTTTAAGAGACTAATCCGACTCTGTTTTAGAGATAAAGACGCCTCCTGCTTCTAGGTTAGAAGAAGGGCTGGTGGGACAAAAATGGGTGGTGCAGGTGTACCACCAAGTCGTGGCCCGCCCAGGTTTCTAACTGTCCGTTGCTCTTCAGAACGGGCAGTAGCTCCTTTTTCCCCAAGTGCTGTAAGTGCCTGTGCCTGCCGAAAATGCTTCCATTATGGCTACCTTTTCATAACCCCAAAGGGCTCCTTTTGTAAGAAGGCCATAAACAGTAGACCTAGGCAGAACCAAAGCGGGGCGAAGGCAAGCAGGCTGCAGAGAGGTCTCCGAAAGGCCTAACAGGTCTAGCCCGCAACCCCCAGTGGAGCCAGGAGAGCCCACCTCGCTAAGGCACGTCACCTGGGCGCCCCGTCCCTCAGCCTTTTGCCGCTGGGCTCTTCTTTCTGCAAACACAACGCGGCACTTGCAGGTTGGGACCCCGCCCGAGGCCTGCGTGTGCCGGGGGGCCCCTCGACGGCGGCTGCACCGGCTGGCCACCCTCGCCGGTGGACC